ATATTCATTCGTTTATTGTCGAGATCTTTTTCGGTTCATATGAAATTGAAAGAGATCACTTTAAATTCGTGATAAGTTCTGTGGATATGGAACAATTGAGAGTCCTTGGCCTTATGGTGAAGGCCTTAGACGAAACTAATGTGTCTTGTGTCGTTTATGAATTTTTGAAACTGGAGTAGTCGCTGAATATTGTTAAAATCATGATAAATCGCCTGCTGCTCTAAATGACGTGAAATTTGATAAGTGATGTCCTCTAGTGTTTATATGTTTCGTGTCAAAATTTCAGGTTTAAACTCCCTCTGTAGCTATTTTAGATATTGATTTTGATTTCTGCACAGAATCATAGAAAATTCATATAAAATCAAGTTGTGAAATTTTTTTTTTGAAATTTAAATATGTTGTCCCTCTATTCTATTTGGTCAGTTTGTAAAAATTTCATAATTTTTCGACTTCATTTGCTAGGGTAAATAATTATTTATGATATTTTGCTGAACTTTGTTTTAATTATGAAAAATCGACCCTTTTCTGTAAATTGTTGAATTTTGGTGTATGAGCTCATTTTATGATGTGTTTCGTGATGTAAAAAGTTCAGATTTAATTGAGTTCAGTTTGGTGTGGTTTTTTTAAAAATGTGTATTCTAACTTAATGTAGGTGTTTGAGGAGTCAAGCCTCGACCTACGTCACTTCTTATTGTGCTTTTACCAATCCGAAATACCAAGTGGATTTGTTATTCTAAAAATTCACTATGTCATACGTGTTTAAGTGTTTTGGTTGGTATGATCAATGCATGTATGTAAACCATGTGGCCTACTGATGTGAGCTGTTACGGCCGTCAGTACGGTCGTCCCCGTTGTGAGGCAAGTCTCTGTAAGACCTAATAAAAGGCCATGTCCTTGCGTGGCACGCACTCCCGCCTTCGGGTAATGAATCCCCGTTCTGCGGCTAATGAAATATGTGCACATGGGTGAGTCATTATCGTATTGACTAAAAGATTAGACATGTTGTTATTGATTTATATTCATACTGCGACCATACCATTTTTATCATAATGTATTATGTGCGTAGAGGTGAGCACTACATTTTCCAATTGTGCTCACTCCTACCTGCTCTTCACGGATGCAGGTTAAGCAAGTGACGGATGACGAAGCAAGATGAGTGGGTGGTCATTAGTTATTTATTTTTGCTTTCGCAGTTTTTATGAAACATGATGAATTGTTTTTTGTACGTATGTTTTGGGATTGTTGATTTCGGATATTCATGGTACGTGTTTTATTGAATAATATGTTTTGATTATTCATGCTGAATATCTTGTGAGATGTTGTGAAATGGGTTAATGAAAACCTTGTGAAAAACCGGGTTTATGAATCCCCGTGTGTCCAAATAAGACTTGGACTTTGTGAATGTTGTGCATAATGCCCATGTTTTCGAAAATGATTTTGAAAAATGTTTTACTGATTTTTTTGAAAATCCAGAATTTCTTTAATATCAAAGTTGGGCGTTACAGCTGAGGGCACTCTCGTAAGAGATCACGTCCTTAAGCTAGTGAAGTTGTTTAATCAGCTAAGATTCCATGGAGTTGACATGGACGAAATGTCCAAGGTTGACATGATAGTCTTTTCATTGCCTAAGGACTTCAAAAAACTCTGTTAACGATATGGCATTTACATTCGACATTTGTCGGTGTCAGAGTTAATTGGGCAACTAGGCAGTGGAACGAATCTTCATGGAAGATTGTGATGTTGGGATCGTTGAGGATCTTGTAATGTATAAGTCACGAATTAAATAACAACAGTAAACCTACGCACAATGGATCTAGAGGTTTAATGTTGAAAACTTACAGCTTAAAATTGCAGACTATGAGATGTTGTAGATTTCTGCTGTTGAAGATCGTCTGTATTCAGAATCCGTTAGGGAGTCGGATTTCTTCTCGTCAGACATCGAGAAGCTCGTCGGGAGCGTCACCGAGTTGCAGCGGGTCGCAGACGGTGGTCTTCGGGTGCGCGAGGATGTCACGCGGCCGCAGCTGGTAGATTGGGTCGTACGCGGTGGTCGACGTGGACGGGCTACATGCGTTGCTGCTGGTGCGGTGGATCACCGGTGATGCGGGGTCGTCGGGGCTGCTTGCGGGCTGCGTGCGATGGTCGACGGCTTCGCGTATGGTGGTTCGATCTCAGGGTCTCGGTTACCTTAAGATCTTCTACTGTATTACTCGACACCTCTTCGTTTTGTATCGGTGAAGCAACAAAACAAAGATAAAGCTTGACTCTAGGAACTAGAGAGAGGAGGCGGCCGAACATATAATTAGGCTTATGTGTGTCTCAATCCCATGAGCTTAATGATGTATTTATAGAGCCACAGTAGGGATCCTAAGGAGGTGATGACTTGGACTCCTTAAGTATTAGACCTAACTGTGAGCCAAGCCCACTCTGCTCAATTACTTAAATAATGTTTCGGTCCACTAACGTAAACATTATTGAACTCCGATTTTATCCACAAAATTATATTCGAGACTCCAATAATAATTACTCGAATTACCTCCCCAAATTTAAGATATAATGTCTATTAATTAATTCGATTACTGATAATCAATAATTAATTAATATCTTGTAAACCGAAGCTAGTAACACTCATCCCATTATTACTATGTCGGAACATCATCCACCTGCAGGGTTTAATATAATAATCCTTCATGCGCTCACTTTGGGGACATCATCAAACTAACGCACATGGTGACTGTAAATATTCTAACAACACATCGTACATGCAACACTATTACCCTAAACATGAAGCCTATTGATCCAGCAGAATGAATCTCACTTTTAGTGAATCAAAATAATAGCTATTGCATGCACATGCCTTTTTATATCTTTTGGGTTAATAGAACGCAATAATTAACACAAGCCTAGTTCATTTTCGACGATCAATATAAAACGAACTACTCCTCTTTGGGATCTTGTTCAATATATAAATGTACTAGTGCAACTAATCATTCAGGATTAATCTGACGGTTGACACTATAACGGTTCTGATGGTTTGTACATTTCCATCTAGGTTGTGAACCAACCATTCTTGCTTCGCAACTAACTGATAAAATGATCTTCTGTTCACACGCTAATGAACCATTTTATCTTTGTTCAAAACAATAGAACATAGAACTTGTTTAATCAAACGATTCTCATTCAACATAAATCAAGTGTAAATATCATCCAAAGCTAAGCTCTAGAGTAATATTATTTAATTGCCCATTTAGCTCTAAATTAAAATTAATTCATCTCCTAACTAACTGCTTGATTCAACTCTCCATGTTTAAGATATAATGTCCATTGATTAATTAATTACTGACAATATAATTAATCAATTTCTTGAATCGAAAATAGTACCACTTAATTCTTTGTTATTATATCGGGAATTAATCCGCTGGCCCGGTTTAACATAATAATCCTTCTTGAGCTCATTTCAGGGATGTCATCAACTCGGCGGACCGAGACACAGTGATCGTTAACGACCCATTATGTAAACAACATTACTTACCAATGTACCGAGTATGTCAACCTAACAAAATAGGTATCACCCTTGGTAAATCAAATAAATAAGTGTTGAGTACACATGCTCGTTTATTGTCTTACGGGTTAAGAGAACGAAACAATTACTGAGCTCTATATTATTTATTTAGTCAGTATAAAATAATCTTATCCTTCTGTTGGTCTATACAATACATGTGAAATGTACCAATGTAATAGTGAAATGGACTTCACTCGGGCTCCTTCAACTCGGGGCGACAGGACGAGGTTGTCGAAAAGTTTTACATTCTAGCGAAGAGAGCTCGAACATGGTGACAAAAAATAGCAAGATGTAAGTTCAAATTTTTAAATTCAAAGCTTCGGGGAGTGGTCATTCAATTTTCGACCTCATCAGCGGTCACTCAGTTTTCGACCTCATCAGTGGTCATTCAGTATTTGATCTTAATGATCATTCAATTCTTGGTTTTCGACCTCAGTGGTCAATTGGTTTTCGGTTGTCGACCTCATTGGCGGTCACTCAGTTTTTGACCTCATCGGTAGTCACTCGATTTTCGACCTCATCGACAGTCACTTGGTTTTCGACCTCATCAGTGGGCATTCAGTTTTCGGTCTTCGACCTCATCAGGCGACCTCTCGGTTTTCGACCTCATTAGGTGGTCACTCGATTTATCGACCTTAGTGGCCTTAGTGGTTATTCGATTTTTCGTTTTCGACCTCAGTGGTAAATTGGTTTTCGGTTTTCGACCTCACTGGCGGTCATTCGGTTTTCGACCTCAGTGGTCATTCGGTTTTTGATTTTTTTACCTCAACGGTGGATCATTCAGTTTTTGATATCAGTGGTCATTCGGCTTTCGGTGTTCGACCTCAGTGGCAGGTCATTCGGTTCTCGACTTCATTGATAGGTCATTTAGTTTTCGACCTCAGTGGTCATTCCGTATTTATTTGGGTCCCGATGCTCATTTAGAGGTTTGGTGACTTTTTGGTGGTCTAGGATTTATTAAAATTATAACCTCAGTGGAAGGTTGAAGAAAACAGCCCGAAGAGGCATTTCACTCTTGGATCGAGTTATGTTTACTCGACCAGAGTGGGGAAGGACTACATTATAGAGGATATTATTGGTGCGTTCTATTAGGAACGACAACAACATGCACGTTTGAATTTGGCAAAATAAACCATAACGCAGCAGAATCTATAGTTAGTGTTAGGACATTACCGTTTAAAAAATTTGCCGACTCAGAGACGTTTTTGATTTCCTTTGATGGAGATCATCTAATTACCACAATCCGATAGGCTGCCGGATCTGGCCTTTTCGATTTTGATCGAGTCACTGAATCATAAACGGATCATCGGATCGAGCTCATCGGCCTCGAGCCAGTTGAATCGAGCTCGGTTCACAAGGTCGACTCGGTCAGACCTGGGTTGACTCGGTCATAACTCGGTCAGGCTGACTCGGATTGGCTAGGCTCGTCTCGGTCGGGTCAAGTCACGGACAGCCGCTGGCAGGCGGCGCAGGTCATGTCTGGTGCTGGTCGGGACGCGCGGGAGCTAGAGCGGACACGGGCAGGCGTTGGGATCTCGGGCGCATGTCGTGCGTGACTCATATGCCGGTTCGGACTGGGCCTCATGTGAGTGCGGACACGGGAGTCCTTCTCATGCGTTGAGTGGGACACAAGCGACATTCGCAGGCGAGTGCTGGCAATGCATGGGCGCGACGATCTCGGGCCGCGGCGTTGCGCGAGCAGGCAGACGATAGCGTGCGCGATCAGGTCACCGTGCGTCGCAGCTGGGACCATGTGCATGGGCTTGGCTGCGTGCGGCGACTGGCCAATTCCCGCGGCTGCGTGCGGCTGGGCGCTGGCGGCAGCGGGCGGCAACGGCGATTTCTGACGGCAACAGATGGTGGTTCACGGCAGCGATATGACCGGAAAAAGAAGATCTTCAAGGTTTGATCTATCTAACCTTAAGATCTTATAATGTATGATCTAATCACCTACTCCAAAAAATCTTGGTGGGTGATTTTTCGGATCTCTCGAACTCTCAATATCTAGAACACTCGAAAACTCCTTCTTCCCTTAGGATACCTTGAGTTAGGCGTGTAACATAGAGTAGGGGGAGAGTTCAAGACATGGTGTATTTATAGACTACATTAGGGACCTTAAGGTGGTGCTTAATATGGACTTATCCTATTAGGCTAAGGAAACCTAATTCATTCCACATACTTTTCCAATCTAGGATATAATTTCTCCTAACCCTAATTATCTTATAGAAGACTCCTTAGTCTACTAATCCTGGGTAATATTCTAGAAGGAAAATTTCCCTCCTAATGGAACATTAATTACGGAATTAAATTAGTTCTTTAATCTAAATAGAATTAAATAATAAAACATTTCCACTAGAGTAATATTATTGCTCTCCCCATTTAGCTCTAATTTATTCCATAAATCAAACTTCCAAATGATTAATTAATATTAATTTAATTGACCGATTTACCTCCCTACGTTTAAGATATAACATCCATCAATTAATTTAATTAGTGATAATTAAATTAAATTGAGTTCTTCATTTCCAAAATTAGTACCACTCGGTTCATTATTCATTATGCCGGAAATTATCCACCTAGAGGGTTTAACATAATATTCTTTACTGAGATCATTTGGGGGAAGTCATCAACCCAGCGCACTGGGACATAGTGACTGTAAATAATTTATAACGGCACATCATATAAACACTCTTACTTACCAAAATAGCAAGTATGTCATCCTAACGGAATAGGAATCACCTTTGCTAAATCAAATAAATAAGTAGTGAATATATATGCTCATTTTATATTATCTTACAGCTTAAGAGAACGCATCAATTACTGAAGGTCTAGATTATAACAACGATTAGTAAATCTTATAATCTTCTTATTCCGCGGTCCGTTCAATACTTATCATAAGTACTAGTGTAATCCATCAGTGAAAGATCAACTGAATCAAGACTACACTACACTCGTTTTTCAACAGGGGTCTCACTGTTTGTCTAAACTGTGAATAATTAAATTATATTTTACAAGGAACCGTTAATATGATCTTTCTGTTCGACACGACGAACCACATTATCTACAATGTAAAATAATGGAGTTATGATTGCATAAATAAATAAACTGCAAACATAAATACTTTGACTAAAACACGATTGCCATGGTATCATTTATATCTGAAAGCCAAGGTTTTACAGTATATCTAACAATCTCCCACTTATGCTTAATAAGCTCATGGCTATCACTAACCACAATTCTCTTTCATTCGAATTCTCAAAGACTAGTCTACTATGTCGCCTAACGTCTGACTCCCATTCCTTCTACGGGTCCCTCAAAGACTTTCGCCAGTAGGCTCTTCGTAAAAGGATCTGCTAGGTTGTCCTCTGACAGTATATTGGCAACAACGACTTCCCCTCGTCCAACGATTTCTTGTATCAGGTGGTACTTGCGCTCTATGTGTTTACTTGCTTTATGAGTCTATGGTTCCTTCGAATTTGCTACTGCTCCGCTGTTATCATAGAAAACTGTAATGACAGCGGGCAAAATCGACACCATATCAAAATCGAGGAGAAAATTCTTGAGCCAAACAGCTTCTTTCACTGCCTCTGAGGTTGTTATATATTCAGCTTCCATGGTGGAGTCTGTCACGCATTTATGGTTGACACTCTTCAATACAATGGCTCCTCCTTCTAATGTAAACATAAACCTATAGGTTGACTTTCTTTCATCCCGGTCTGACTAGAGAATCTGTGTAACCCAACGGATGCAACTCATCTGCCTGGTAAACCAACATATACTTCTTAGTCCTTCTCAGGTACTTGTGTATATGTTTCACCGTAGACCAATGTTCCGGACCTGGATTACTTTGATATTTGGCAACCATGCCCACGGTATAACAGATATCTGGTCTCGTACACAATATCGCATACATATGGCTTCCTACTACCGATGCATAAGGAACTGCCTTCATGTCTTCTATATCTTGAGGCGTCTTAGAAGACATCTTCTTAGATAGAGGGATTCCATGTCGAAAAGAAAATTTCCCTTTCTTCAAATCCTGCATATTGAAACGGGCCAGGACAATTTCTATGTATGTGGTTTGGGATAGGCACAACTTTCTCTTCTTTCAGTCTCGAATGACCTTGATTCCGAGAACATGTCCTACTTCTCCCAAATCCTTCATCTCACACTGCTCGGATAACCATACCTTTACATCTGATAACTTCTTCACACTTGTTTCCAATGAGAAGAATATCATCAACGTACAGCACAAGAAACACTACTACGTTTCCTTCACTTTTCTTTACACATAGTGCTCACCCGGACATTGTGTAAATCCAAACGATTAGACAACCTCGTAAAAACGGATGTTCCAAGACCTCAAAGCTTGCTTCAGTCCATAAATAGATCGTTTCAGCTTACAGATCAGATGCTCTTTCCCTTTGAAATAAACCCTTCTGGTTGCTACATATAGATGTCCTCATCCAAATTCCCATTAAGGAAAGCGGTCTTAACATCCATTTTCCAAATCTCATAATCCATATGACCAGCAACAGCCAAGAGAATCCTAATGGATTTGAGCATAGCTACAGGTGAAAAAGTTTTCACATAATCGATCCCTTCTTTCTAAGTATGCCCCTTCGCAACAAGCCTAGCCTTGAAGGTCTCAACCTTCCCATCTGATACTCTCTTTCTATTACAGATCCACTTGCATCCAATGGCGCGAACAATACTGGGTGGTTCTACAAGTTCCCAGACCTGATTAGAATCCATTGATTCCATCTTAAATTTCATAGCACTTTGCCAAGACTCTGCATCCCGATCTTGGAGTGCCTCATTGTATTTCTATGGGTCGGTTTCTAGCATATCTAGGACATTCTCAGAAGACTCTCCCAGACCCAGAAACTGTTCGGGCTGCCTGATAACCCTCTCACTACGACGAGGTACTACTTTCTCAAGTGCATTGTCAATGACACGTGTTGCAGTAATTTGTGGTGTAACATCAAGTGCACTCGGTATTGAAGTACTTTCTCCATTTACCTCCTCAATAATATTCCTACTACTTGGTTTATGAACCATAACATAGTCTTCTTCTAAGAACCTCGCGTTCGTGCTAACGATCACTTTCTGGTCCTCAGGACTATAAAATAGACCACCTTTCATTTCCTTAGGATATCCCACAAATAGCCTCACTTCTGAACGCGGCTCCAACTTATCAGTTTCTGTTCTAAGCACATGTGCTAGACTACCCCATATATGGAGATGCCTTAGAGTAGGCTTAAACCCAGTCCATAACTCCATGGGCGTGACTGGCACTGATTTAGAAGGTACCAAGTTAAGAACATGAACTGTTGTTTCTAGGGCATATCCCCAAAACGAATCTGGTAATGTATTATAACTCATTATTGCCCTAACCACCTCCATAAGAGTCCTATTCCTTCGTTCTGCTACGCCGTTCTGCTGGGGAGTGCCAGGCGCAGTCAGTTGGGATGTAATCCCATTATCCGTTAAGTAGTTCCTAAATTCACTCGAGTGATATTCGCCACCATGATCGGATCGTAACGACTCGATACTTTTCCTAACTGCTTCTCCACAACTGCCTTATACTCCAAGAACTTCTCGAAGCACTCAGACTTGTGGCGCAGTAGATAATTGTATCCATATCTCGAGTAATCATCGATAAACGTAACGAAGTACTTGAAACCACCTCTTGCTTGAACAGTCATAGGACCACATAAATCAGAATGAAGTAGCCCAAACAAATCTTCGGCTCTATTCTATTTTGCCTTAAAAACCCTTTTAGTCATTTTTCCTTCCAGGCAGGACTCGCAAGTTGGAAAGGGCTTGACTTCCAACGACCCCAAGGGCCCGTTTGCCACAAACCTTTGAATCCTCCTAGGTTTATATGACCAATTTTAAGATGCCAAAGATATGTTTCGTTCATTTTTTAAGGTTCCTTCCTCTTATTCAGATTAAATGATGAATTAAGTAATTGTTTATGTTGCAGTGGACTAGACTTTGGTTTTAGGATATACAGATTGTCTACTAATGGACAATTACATATGAATTTTTTGCCAAAATGAATAACAACTTTATTGTCGAAAATAGCAGAAAAACCGTTCATAATAAACTTAGAAACTGAAATTAAATTCTCTCTAAAGCTAGGAACATAAAAACAATCTTTCAAAATTAAAATGCTATCTAAACCAATATATAAGTAGACATCTCCCACTGCAACTTCTGACGCTTTACTAGCATCGCCCAAGTAGATGGTAACCTCTCCTTCCCTAAATCGCTTGGTTTCCTGGAACCCTTAGAAATTATTGCAGACATGATTAGTGGCTCTTGTTACGGGTAGATAACACCGCTAAACCTGTTTCAGCGACTAATGAAAAAGATTTACCTTTATCGTCCTTCTTGAGGAGAGGGCAGTCGGCCTTCTAATGTCCTTTCTGCTGTCATCTGTGGCATTTGCCTTTTGGCTTCTTTGTTCCCCTCTGAGGTTGCACTTCATTGTTGACGACTTTGCCCTTTCTTGCGGACTTCTTCCTCTTCCTACCCTTACCAGGCCTGGAAAAAGATTCCTCGCCGCACTAAGACACCATAGCTTGAGGCTTTTGACTAAGCAGGCCCTCTGCCGACTGGAGTTTTGCCAGAAGTGCTGGAAGAGTTAACATCATTTTTGTCATGTTGTAGTTCAACCAGAACTGCTCAAAACTCTTCGGAAAATATTGGAGGACTATATCGATCTGCGTTTCTGTGTCAATAAAACCCCCAAGTACCTCCAGCTCATTCAGTTTGGCCATCATAGCAAGAACATGTTCCCTTACGAGCCGGTTCAAGACTTTGTTTTTTAAAGTCTTAAAAAGTCTAAACTGAATACACCATGATTTATGAAATCTTAAAAAGTGTTTAGAAATCCAAATGAAAAACACCACCTAATTGTAAAACCTTACGATTTGGCAAGGGAGGAGTCCAGAATTTCAAATTTACCCGGGCTAGAAGTATGACAAAATTATACATAACTTACTATATATAAAATATCTTTTGCATAGTAGACCTCTTAAGTCGCCTAATGGTAAAGGAACTATTTTTTCACATATATGCAAATATTCACACTCAAATGACATACTTTAATTTATAATATAAAAAAATAAATATAACATTGTGTATATTATAAGTACGATCTTTTTAGATAGTATGGCTGCCTAACATTAGGCTGCTTAGCACCATATCTATTTAAGTGTATGTTCAAGAAATTTTTCCTTAGAAATATATGTATTCACACATCAAAATAAATAAGGAAACTAAAATTAGCAGAGTTTTGATAAAACAAAACTATTAAAACCACATTCTTTTATTATCAAATAAAAAATAAGCTTAAAAGGTTTTTATAAAACATCTAGACAGTAAAATTAGAAAGAAACAAAAGCAAAAATTGACATCAGTATTATTTGAGGTGATTATTACAGGATGGTTTAGATTTATAGATATACTTTGAATATGTAACTATTTGAACTTGGGCTAAAATATAAGAAAGGCTATAAATTTTCTACAATCAATTTGTGGATTTTTCTAATACATTATAAATATGTTTGAGTCAAAAAATAATATGTATTTGCAAATGGCTTACCCAGGCTACAGCCCAGGACAAAATACATGTCCCTCTGCCCCTGCTATTTAGGCTGTAGGCATATTATTTGTATGCACAAAATGGTCCGGTAATAATATTTGGGCTTGTATGTTGGGTATTTTTATTTAGTACAAGTAAATGGTCCAATGACAATATGAGCTCTACATGCCCAAATATGTTGGGTATTTTTATGAGGAATTTACACCCCATACTATCAAATATATTTTATATTACACATTTACACTTAATTAATATTTATTTGTAAAGATACAAAATCACCCTAACATAATTGCATATACTAGAATTCAAATTTAAGTCAACTAATCCTTTAATTAGGGAAGGAGAGATTACACAAGATTTTATACATCAACTCTCCTTCTATTCTCTCTCATCTCTCCCTATTCCTTTCTTTTTTTTTTTTTGCTTCTTCTTTTGCCAATTTTGTTCTGGTTTTGCAGTAAACTTTGAATCCGTCCGCAATTTCGTTAAGGTTTTGACTAGGGAGATGGAATTAGCGAATTGGGACATCCGATCTGGAACTGGTTGTCCCCTGCCCCCAGCCTGCCACCCGTATTTACGGCCAACGCCCTGAGGAAGGAAACCAATCGGAGAGCCCAGATGCCGCTGTCGTTGCACGAAGTGCTGGCGGAGGTGTTCACGAACTGGATGTTGAGGTCGGTGGAGGTGAGGACGGGAATCCCATCCTCGTTTGACGCTTGGGCCAGGTGGAAGGTCACAGGGAGGCCCTCGGCGGAGCCTGGTGTGGCTTTTGTGATGAAAGATCATAGAGCCTTTGCTTTTGAATCGTCCATTTGCAGGGAGATTTTTGAAGGGTTCAATAGTCCCAATTTTTCTATCGAGGGTGACAATCTATTTCTGTCCGGTGAATTATGGTAGTGATGAATTAAATGGGGACAGATAGATGGCGGCGACTGTTATTGTACCGACATACGTGGAAGAGTAACTGTAACACCCCGCTAACTTACTAGTATCAGAGTAAAACTTTTTGCTACTTATTTCGAAAATACATATAAATTTTTCGAAATCATTTAACTTAACTCGGGATGCTACTAAACTTATCTATTCTGAAAATCTGTTTTTCTTTAACTTGGTCTAAATACTGGTTTAGACATAAAGAAAACAGATATGTATAATCTAATCAAACTAGCATGTAACTCAACCAGACCTGTCTAGAGATCCGATAAAATCTGAAAACTAGCATGCAAGTTTGATTTTGAAAATAACGTCAGCGGAAATGTAAAGCGTGGCAAAATATATACAAACTGAGAATATACAAAAGTCCACAAAACGGCCAGCTGAGCCGAATCCACGACCACCACCACAGCATCTCAACTCACGCCTGCGGCCCGACCCGAACCTCTGAAGAAAAACATAATAGTGGGGCGCGATCACGAAAGTGCAAAATGCTCCGTAGAAACCCATACTAAAGTAAACAACAATAATAATAACAATATCATGATTGTCAGTATATATAAACTGAAACTGAAACTGTAACTCAATCTCCCGGCAAATCTAAAACTCGGCCGGTAGCCATGTGCACACTCTAGTGGAATATTAAGGCAACTAGCGGCCACCACCAGAACTTAGGGGAAAAACTCATGGCAACTAGCGGCCACCGCCCTAAGCGGATAAACTTAATATATATACATACCTCGGACATGATATCAGATATTATACTCAATGTAATACCCAGTCTGGGCTCCCACCTGTACTTTTGAAAATGAAAGTGGCAGTGTAACTTGAAAACTGTCGTCAAACTGTATAAAAATATAAGCAATTAATATACTAAGTACTATGCTCAGAATACTTAATAAAATGCTAAGATGCTCTATTTTTAATTTCTAACTTATTCGGATTAATTAGAACGCTCTAAGGGTTCATATTAAAATTATACTAAAGTCCGGAACTTATTGTTATAACTCAATCTGACTAAATTTTGGCTCAGAAAAATATTAAAAATCTGGAAAATATCTCGAACGGCTCAAACAAGTCAAAAACAACTCGAACTGCCGGCTGAACCGGCTGGTTCGCTTACCGACTGGACCGGACTGACATAACCGGTCCTACACTAGCCCACCGGTTCACCGAAAACCGGGCGGACACTCCTGTGCCGGGCCAGTTGGTGCCCTGGCACGGTGCTGGACTCGCGCTGGTGCGAGTCAGGGCGCGGCCAGGCACTGCTGGCACGGTTCAGTGCAGCCTGGCGCGGGTATTGGCCCTACAGGCACGAACAGACGCGGGCAGACACGTACAGGGCTTACCCGGGCGCTGCAGGGCGCTACTAGCGCTGGGGCTGTGCGCGCGGACGCTGGCTGACCCGGGCCTGGTGATGAAGGATCGTGTGTTTTTCCAACTCGACTGTCTCGAACCAAGCTTTGCCACAGCTTGTCCTTCGACGATAGGTGTGGACGACTCGGTTATTAGCCTTATCTTCTCACGATTTTGAGATGGTTCGGGTCCTAGCCTTGCCAACTCGGTTTGTATGATAAAACTCTCACGAATTCTAAACACACAGTTTTGTTCTCACGAACGATTTCTATTACTTTTCCATTCTATATGATTATTATTTAGAATGACATGAGGTTGGTATTTATAGATACCAAATAGATCTAATCCTAGTCTAAGAAGAACTCCTAATGCAAGTAAACAAATAAAGTCCTAAGGAAACTAAATAAAGACTTCCCTAAACTACTTAGGCACATGCCTTTTATTCCATATCCTAACCAAACTATTATTCCTAAGCTACTAAGGGAAATCGGCCTTTAGGCCTTCTAGAAAGATCGCGCGTCCCCTTGTGCCGCGTGCCTCGAGCAAACCCTAGCCGTCACGGCTAGTCCTTGTCCTCCGAGGTCTTGGCCTTCTCCCGCGTCCCACGCGTCGCACGCGTCTATTGCCTTGTGCCTCCAGTCGCGCGGATTCCCTTCAGTCGATGCGCTATGCCTAGCCCCTCGAGGACTCGCGCCAACCAACCCTCGCGTGTCTCGCGCGAACCTCCTCGCGCTACGCGCGCGCCCATGCCTTCGCGCGTCTCTCGACCCGCGAGCGCCCCGCACGCCAACCTCTATTGTCTCGTCTCCTCGCTCGCTCACCTTGTCGACCTCGTCGACCTTGTCGACCCCATCGACCATGTCAACCTTGTCGACCCCGACCATCAACGCATCCGCGCCATCGCATCCGCCCCATGCGCATGCTGTCCACCCTTCATCCGCCCCTCGTGCACTTTCGGCCTTATCGCGCATGCGTTGCTTGCGCCGGTTTCTTGCGCAAGCCCTACACCATTCGCCCACTCCTCCGGGCTCAATCCTCCCGCTCTCATCGTCGGCCCAATACTCGGCCGTACGCATATCACCCGCCTTGTAACCTCTCCGGGCCCTCTTAGCACGGTCTCGGTACTCATCCCGGGCTATTGCACGCTTCCTTTCTCGGCTTATGCGCGTCTCGTCCTCGGGCTCGGATGGGTCGATGACCACATCCTCATCATTCCATCCCCCTTTGAGCTTGACCTTGTCCTCAAGGAGAATGAATTGAAGATTCTTCAATTCAACCGGCTCGGTTCCTTCGTCACTCGAGCATAGCTTGATCCTCTTGTTGGCCCTTTTGAACTCCATCGTTCCCGTTCTGAAATTTGTAACTATGGGCCCTAACGTCTCCAACCATTGGACTCCTAACACCACTTCGGGTTCTCCCAGATCTAGCGCAAATAAATCCACCTTTAACTCCTCTCCTTGCACTTGTATCGGGACATCTTTGTATAGCTCCGAACTCCAAAGCTCTTCGCCGTTCGCCACTCGTACCCCAAATGGTACAACTCCGGTCATTGGTATCTCGAGCTTTGTGGTGAAGTCCAAGCTAACAAAATTGAGTGTTGACCCACTGTCGACCAACACATTGACCTTTCGTCCCAAAATCTCGGCCTCGAACCTCATCATCTTAGGTCCTTTTTCGGCTTTGACCATGTGCAGCATCTCCAATTGCGGATTCAATTACAAGTGACCTCCCTCAACACGTTCTTCCTCGGGCTCGCATGTCTCGAGCAGGTAAACTTCTTTACCCTTGCACCTATGCCCGGGCGTGAACGGCTCATTGCAAGAGAAGCATAAACCCTTCTCGCGCCTCCTTTGCATCTCCTCAAGACTTACACGTCGCATGTAATTCGGTGGTCGAACCTTCTCGATCACTTTTGCGTCCTCGATCAGCGGCGGTGGGTCCGCGACCGTACTCGTTCGCCGTGTCTCGACGCGTCCGTCACCTCGGCTCGTCTTGCAGATCGCAATCAGATGGTCTTCGCGCATTCGTGCAGACTCCATGGCAGCTCGCATCGACCTCGGTCGATCTAGTCGAACCTCGGCAGCCAGCTCGGGTTTAAGCCCACCCACAAACGCACCAACCAGTGCACTCTCGGGCCAATTGCGCACGCGACTAGCTAAGCGCTCGAATTCTTTTTGGTAATCACGAAGACTACCACCTTGACGTATTCGAGTGAGTGCCTCGTCATAGTCATGGTATTGGCTCGATCCAAAGCGCGTAATGATCTCTTTCTCGAAATCCCTCCAATGTACTCTCACACCTTTGTCTCGGTAAACATGCGAGATCCATTGCCACCATACATTCGCCTCACCATTGAGATAGTAGGCGGCGATTTTGACTCGATCACATTTGGGCACGTCATTGATCTCGAAGTATTGCGTAGCTCAACTCAACCACGCATCTGGGTCGGTCCCCGAGAACGTCGGCATGGTTAGCCTCGGCTTCTCGACCTTCCTTTCCTCGCGTCGACCAGACGCTCGTGTCCTTCTCGATCGTCGATCATGGTCCTCGTGGTCGGACTCGGAGCTGCTCGATCGAGCTATGGTCGAACACGACCTATGACTTCCTCGTGGTCGTCGTGTAGCTCGAGCAAGTTGTGCCGCAAGATCGTGCACCATGAGCTCCAACTTCGCAAAATTCTCGTTGGCCGCATGTTGTCCATCACCAAGGGATCTCATGCTCTCCTCCAACATCTCGAATCTCTCTCGGTTTGTCATGGCTTCTCTCTCTCTCTCTCTCTCTCTTTTTGTTTTTTTGATACTCGCGATCCAATCTCACAAAAAGAAGAAGAAAAATTTGAAAAGAATAGATAGAAAAAGTTAAACAAAACACACGATCAACACCTCTCAATGAAAGCACCAATGATGAAGGATCGTGTGTTTTCCCAACTCGACTGTCTCGAACCAAGCTTTGCCACAGCTTGTCCTTCGACGATAGGTGTGGATGACTCGGTTATTAGCCTTATCTTCTCACGATTTTGAGATGCTTCGGGTCCTAGCCTTGCCAACTCGGTTTGTATGATAAAACTCTCACGAATTCTAAACACACGATTTTGTTCTCACGAACGATTTCTATTACTTTTCCATTCTATATGATCATTATTTCGAATGACATGAGGTTGGTATTTATAGATACCAAATAGATCTAATCCTAGTCTAAGAAGAACTCCTAATGCAAGTAAACAAATAAAGTCCTAAGGAAACTAAATAAAGACTTCCCTAAACTACTTAGGCACATGCCTTTTATTCCATATCCTAACCAAACTATTATTCCTAAGCTACTAAGGGAAATCGGCCTTTAGGCCTTCTAGAAAGATCGCGCGTCCCCTTGTGCCGCGCGCCTCGAGCAAACCCTAGCCGTCACGGCTAGTCCTTGTCCTACGAGGTCTTGGCCTTCTCCCGCGTCCCACGCGTCGCACGCGTCTATTGCCTTGTGCCTCCAGTCGCGCGGATTCCCTTCAGTCGATGCGCTATGCCTAGCCCCTCGAGGACTCGCGCCAACCAACCCTCGCGTGTCTCGCGCGAACCTCCTCACGCTACGCGCGCGCCCATGCCTTCGCGCGTCTCTCG